GTACGCTCTGAGGGCCCAGTACGCTCTGAGGGCCCAGTACGCTCTGAGGGCCCAGTACGCTCTGAGGGCCCAGTACGCTCTGAGGGCCCGGTACGCTCTGAGGGCCCAGTAAGCTCTGAGGGCCCGGTACGCTCTGAGGGCCCAGTAAGCTCTGAGGGCCCAGTAAGCTCACTGTGTGGAACATCTTCAGTGACCTCAGAAATAAACTTAGTTTTTATTAGTGAATAAGCAAACTTAAAAAAACTATTATAGTTCTGGTGGCCGGCGGTTCCTGAACGCACCGCAGACAGCGCAGTCAGCCAGACTCCTGCGTGTCTGGCAGCAGAGCATCATTTGGGTTTGGCCCAATGCAGCTGGATTTGGACTGTAGTTTATTTTTCGCTACCAGTGATGTCTACATTGTGCAGGTCTATGTTCAGGTGAATTATTGGTCATTTGGAGCAGCTTATTGCTTCAGTGTTAAAACGTTTCGCATCGCTGGCGTTTATCTTTGTTCATCCAAAGAACCAGAATCCGTCAAGCAGCGTTGCTAATGATGACCAATAATGATTATGAAATATTTTACATCCATTGCTCAGATTAAAATGCTATTGAATATGCAGAGAATGAGTGAAAATTGTGGTTTTGTGAAGGTGAATGCTTGTGGTTTCTCCTTGCAGTGAGAGCTCTGGTGGAAACAACCCGGAGCAGACGGAGACAGAGAAGGTAGGCCAGACTGCCAGGCTCTCTGAGGGTCAGCGTGTTCTGCCATCTCACGCCTCACATTTCGGTTTGAATGGAACCGATACCAAGTGACGCTTTGTGACTTCCCTGCAGCCCTCTGCTCAGGACAGCACAGCGGATGAAGACAATAACAGAACTCTGTTCAGGCAGTTCTCTGACAAGGTGAGGCACTTTTCACTAGAACAGCATCACTCTGCAGCCACCGCCAGACCCTCCTACATTTCTGTTCCTACAGTACGAGGAAGTGGACGCTGAGCAGCTGCAGAGCCTCCTCAACGGCAAAATCCTGAGAGGTTTGGACTGAGCCTCCATCGCAGGGTCACAGGGTCACCTGCATCACTCTCACTCCTTGCTCTGTTTTCATCCAGGTGACCTGAAGTCTGGCGGCTTCAGCACCGACGCCTGCCGCAGCATGGTTGCCCTCATGGACGTATCCTCCACCCAAACTCCCCACAACAAAGGGGGTAAAGTCTGACCTTTAACCCCTGCCTCTGAATGAACGTACCTTAACGAACTGATCAGACATCCATCACTGGGAAGCTGAACAGTGAGGAATTTGTCAGTTTGTGGAGGAAGATTGTTACGTACAAGGTGAGAGCAGTGAAGGTCGTTGAGTTTTTACCACACAACACACTGCTGCTTTTCAGCCGATGCTCACTAAAGAACATCCAGTTAAGTTTAATGGCTGAAGAAGGACGTTTCTGATTATTTATTATGAGGTTACAGAGACAAACTAGAGCTTCATGGATCATAATCACTAACAGCCACAGGCCAGTGGACCGACTGCTTTATGCTGCAAAATAACAGAACCTAAAGACTGAGCTGCCAAACTCTGGTTGCAGACTGAAATTTACCGAGTCATAATCAGATCATGAAACATTCAGATCATCATCAACGGGACACAACACCAAACACATGGACACTTTAGACAAATGTGACAGCACAGATGTTAAACATCGACTTATCTGCTGCCTTTATGAACACAAATCATACAGAAGTCAAGTAATACCTGAGAATTAAAAATAAAATGTCTAAATATAAAATACATGACCTCTCCTTTGCTAGTGATAACAGGTGAAATACTGTGTGGTGTGAATGAGAGGAACGCTGACAGCAGATCATGAAGATATGAAATAATCTCTCC